CAAAGGGTATTGTTATGTGTTACCTCACAGACTGTGTTGTTTTTTGATTTCTTACTCCAGGTCAAACTTTTGGTAGTTCTCTGTGAAAGAAGTGGAAGATGTTCACGGTTCTCTCTCCAACGTGCGAAACAGCTCTGTTCTGCAGACAGACAAGGCATGTAGCCTTGGGCTGTAGCCAGATATACACACAGAGAGGCTGAGAAATCCACAGGGCTCTTTTCCCTTTGTGTGGGCGTGCATGTTTCTTACAGTACATGCCCATTAATGTCAGGTTCTGTGTGTGAGCTTGTGAGTATATTAGAGAATGGTTTGGAGTTAACAATGTGTGGAATGTTTCTCCCCTTTTGTCCTGGAATACTGCTGTTTCTCTGTCATGAATATTTACCAGGTGGGGTTCACGGGGTTTAAGCGTTGCAGGGAATCCTCGGCTGGGGACTTGTTTAATCCTAACCCTGTCCTGTTGGAGCTGCTCTCAGCCACTTGGGAGAGAGAGCTTTGGGAAAGGATGTGAGAGGAGGAAGGGGAGAGAGGCCCCAACACTGAGGGGATGCATACTGGACTGTGGGATGTATGGCTGAATAATGGCTGCTTTTACATGCTGCAGTTGTCATGAACTTAAGACTGTTAAGGATTGAAAACTGGTTTGATGAGCTGACCAAACTGAGCATATATTTATTGTTGTTGTTATAGCAAAATAGTTATAGTTTAATGCAAATTCCTAAGGCGGGCATGTGGGAGAATTAAATATAATGAAGTAATGGTGGACTCCCACAAAGTATTGCACAATTTTGACTAAAGAAACTACATTTGCTCATATACCTTCATCAGGCATTAAACAAAACAATAAATAAGGTAATACTGTATCCACAGAACGCAGCAGAAAAGGTTGAAATGTTAAACTGATGATAGTGGTATTAGAATAGGGATCACCAAAAAAGATCATTCTGAGGGGGACATGAATATTTAAGTTTCATAGCAAGCCATCGTATATTTGTCTAGACATTTCACTTAATTAAAACTACAGTATGTAGCTGAAGGTCGCAATAGCATGAAACTCCAAATCAACCCACTCTGTTCCGCCCAACGTTCCCCCTCCCTGCTCCGCTGTGCTCCACCACGCTCTGCTCAGCTCTTCAGATACAGTAAATGAGAGTGCAACAAAACTTACTGATCAGATGTGAAAGTCTCTGATTGGTTAGAGGTCAGTCCCACTCAAAACCTTTTGGAAGCTAATATCACTGCACTGCTGCCAGTGGTGATCAATGACTCTGGGTCACAGGAGGCTTCAACAGCATCTGTACACATTAAAACAAGTTTTGGAGCTTATTTCTATGGAGTTTGCATGTTCTCCCGTTGAAAGCACTCGTCTCCGGGTGCTCCTGCTTCCTCCCACAGTCCAAAGACATGCAGCTTAGGCTGACTGGTGACGGCTTATACCATCACTGTATTGGTTATGGATCTGACAGAACCACAGGTGAATATTAAATCAGGCTTCTTATTTATCTGCACACAAAAATAAATCACACTTTTGATGTAGTCTGTACCCTGTAGGACATTTTCTAGATATTTGCTTATAAATAACGGTGATTGTCAAGTTTAGAAGAGCTGCTATGTGATATTATGACTTTCACATCCTGCTTGCTTTGGCTAAGGGCTGCTCACTCAGACCCGGATGCCAAGATACACCGGTGTGTTTGGAAGCGAGACAGACAGGCGCAGGAGTCTGTGCTTACAAAATCCCACTCCTTCTTGCCGTCTGTCCCCTTGCTATGGAATATTCAGCACAAAATGCGTGGACAGCTCACCTGGGACACAGCTCTACTTGCATCTGATCATAAAGGCATAAAGTCTGTGCATTTGTTTCCTGTAGTACCATTAATTCTAATCTTTGCTGCTGCAGTTTTCATCTAGGTGCTGGTTTTGTCTCTTTCAGGTTTGGCTGTAAACACCATAAATCACAATGAGCCTTTCCACTTCTAGGACTGTATTTCTCCTTCTCAGATTTATTTACATGAATAATTATAAGAGGCCTGAAAAGTTTAAATCATCCAATAATTTCAAAAAGCAAGGCTTGAGCTAAATCTAAAAGCTATTTTGTGCTTGAGTATTGTATTTTCAATGCTCTCCTCTCCTGTTAAACATCTCAGCACCACTGAGATGTACAGTATCTTGTGACCCCACCCCACCCCACCCGGAGAGGTCCTGTGCCATTATTGGATTTGTTGTGTCTTTGGAAGTGACACACAGTTGCACGTCCGAGAAGACTTCTGTAAACAGTGCTGTGTGGACTGATGCTAGGGCCTGATAGTAACTCAGTGGGTGAAGTGACATCTCTCTCTCTCTTTCACTCAGGGAGTGTGTGTGTGTGTGTGTGTGACAACAGTTACTCTCCAAGCTTATCTTCATAAATGGGTTTGTGTCGGTGCGCTCAGAGATCTCAGTATGATGCTCTAATATGATTGACCCCTGACCCTGGAGAGGTGGATGAGTCACAGAGCCAATTGCGTCTGTGTGTGTATGCATATAGGTGTGTGAGGTGTCTATCTGTGTTTGAGTGGGCATTTGTCACCTTGGTACTGTGTATTTTCAGCTAGGCATTGGGATTTACCGGGGAAATAACGGCTGTATGACGGTTTTCATGAAACCATGTTTTAGTGTGCAGCTGTAAATCTCACACCTGTGGAAGATGAAGCACAGAGACCTAAAAACGACCGAGCCCAACATCGCTTCTATGAAGTTGCTGCATACACGTAATCAGACCTAGCATCTGGAAGTCATTTGTCATTTCTCTGTGCTGCCTCTTGTGTTACGTTGCTGTGGTAACTCTCTAGGTGTTTGCATTACGAATATGCAGAGAATTATCACCTCATGTTTCTAAAGCTAATTTAAATGCAGTGGTGTTTGTGCAGTTTAGTAGCAACAAACAGAGCACTGACTACAGATATTAGTCTCTGTCATGGATTAGCATGAACTGAATCATAAAAATACCAGAAACTCTAGTGCTTTCTTTTATCTTCCTCCGGTTTCTCTCTTTTTTTGCCTCTTGTCTCTATGCATTCATGGAGTCCTACCACTTCAGGATAAGCACAAATCAGTATACTGGTATTTCTCTTTTTTACTTTTATATGTTTTACTTTGCATATGAATGAAACCACTGCACATTTTAGTGGAATCAACTGAAATATTAGTAAATTATTTAACAAGCCGACTATATTTTAGTTTATCATTTATATAAAGGTTTGATCAGGAAATAGTTCCTATGTTTTCTTTCTTCTTTACTTACACCAGGCTGAGCACATTTTGGCTCAAATAGTCATTTTACAAGTCACATATGATCACCCATCTTTATATGGTGTTTATCACATGCATCGTGGTAATCAGAGTATGATTGTGAGGAAGTGATACACTGATAGTCACTAAGGCTGCATGTTCACCGCATATTGTAGTGTCTGCAGCAGTGCACCAGCAGCTTTCCCTCAAATAAGCTGTGAATTAAACCTGATAGCAAATGTGTTGTTGTATTTTAGAGAAGATAAGGAAGTGCATTTTCCTTCCCCTATAGAGCACAACCAGAGCAGGCCAAGTACTTTACCTTTCTTACCTTTTGTATTTTGTCCATGTGCATGTACAGAGACCCTTTTAAAAATGAGCCACACTTTGTTCTCCACACTCAGGAGAATAAACGATCTTGCACATAAAAATCTCATTCTGCATTCAGCAGCTTTCATGTGTTGCAGTATTTTCCAGTGATGATATTGAGCATAAAGTTCTGCATCTGATTGCATTACAAGAAGGTCCTTCTATTATTCAGTAGTTCGCTTCATCTGATTCCACACTGTCAGACCTGCTATTATTTATTTATGAACTTTGAAATGATATGTGGTTTGAAATACTTGCTCACTGTGCTTTCAAGGAACTTGGGTGTAAATTTAAAAATGTATTGTGCAGGTTTGAGAAAATGATCTCTCTCTTTTTTTTTTTTTTTTTTTAAAAGTCTCCATCTTTGGTCCACTCTATCCTGGCCTCTGAGCACAGCCTCTTTTGCTTGGGCTATTATTTGGCTTTCATGGAAATCCTCATGCATGGCACCTCATTATCCAGGATGTCACAGAGCAAATGTTGAGTGGCTCTTTGAGCATCAACTGGATAGGGGTGGAGATGGGGAGGGCTTTAGGATATGTGTTCATTCATTTATTGCTACAGCCTAGAAATAGAGAAACAGACAGAGAGAGAGAGAGAGAGAGAGAAGGGAACCTAGTTTGAACAAGTCTGCCATCATCTAATCTGCTCGCCATAGCAACCACTCAACATGCTTCCCTGCAGCTTTCAAGCTAAAACCTTGCATCTCCAGCATGTAGTTTTTCATTTTTGTTTTTGGAAACAGTTTCATAACTTCAAACTGTCCTGGGATCAAAATAAATATGTTGGTAACAAGACAGAAAGAGGCTTTATGTAAAATCTGGGTTTCAGTAGATTTAGAAATTAGAGAAACCACTTTTTTTTTTGTTGTTGTTGGTAAACGAGGTTAGCCTGGATACAAGTAGTGTCTGCTGGATTAGGAAGACTGATTAGCATCAGAGGCTCTCATTAGAGTACTCTTCTGACTCATTTAAAAGTCCTCTTCGCTATAGTTACATGTTGTGGCCATGTGTATATCACCCTTGGGCACTTTTTTAAAACTTTGTGCCATGGTCACAAAACTGTTCATATTCTGATTTCCGCTCCAAGCTAAATGCATCATCATGATTGAAGAACAACCCACAGAAGATGCACGCATATATGTGGTTTCACAATATTTTGGGTCTTCCTCATTACTTCGCAGGTTCCTCCTTTTGGGAAGCTGCTCTCTGTCTTAACTGCACACTTGCTACATACTGTTTCTGCTCAGGGCAGGAAACATCCTCCTCATCCAGCTTCTCCTCCTCTGTCTTTTTGTTTTTGCTGAGTTATTCCCTCTCTAACATGCTCTCTGTCCTTCTTGCTCTCTTTTTGAATTGAAGGTGGTGAGCAGCATCCCTCTAAGGCTTGCAGTGCTGCTTCACAAATTCTTGGTGAGCCGCTGCTGGAAGTGAAACACTGAGGCCAGTCACTCTCCTCCGCCCGGATCCAGGGAGCATCCATCCACACTGGGCTGTGGGAGCTGACCTTTCCCTCGCTACCTCCACCATCTGTCCAACCTCCCACTGAAGATGATGACAGCAATGTGACGAATGTACTAAGTCTTCACCATGTGACCTGCTATTATGGATCTAAGAATTGGCATACATTGAATCAACACTCATCAAGGTAATTCAGAACACTGTGGCCTGCATAGATAACGGTGCATGGATGTGTAGTAGCTTTTTATACACTTACACTTGCAATTAGTCTTATGGATCAATTTCAGTTCAGACACAAAACTCTCTTTCACTTGCACAGGGTTGATTTTGTCACAAGGTCCTGGCACATTTTGTGGACATTGTCACTTCCTTACTCTGGAGAGTCATGGCTCCAGTTTGTTGTGTTTGTTCTTAGTAGAAAGAAGCAAGAAACAAGAACTGAAACATGCTGGTGCTAAACAGCAGTGAGTAGAGAGGACTGCACAGTCGTGTACAACACTAAAAACGCCATTAACTTTACCGTGCATGCTCTAGCTAATTCAGAACAGTGCGTGTTGTTTTAAAATGTAAAATGGGATTGTTTGTATTTATGCTGGGTAGATGCAATTTGGTTGGATTTTATTATTGTGCCATATTTTTTGAGAAAGAATTAAATGCCGTCACTATTTTCTTGATAATTCAGTTCCCACTTTTGACATTATAGACATTCCCAGGTTTTTTTTTTTTTCTCTCATTTCTGTGGCCAGCCATATTAAGACTGCAGACCTACAGGTATCACTGTATGAGGTGTGTAGGGAGAACTAAAACAGACAGATCAAAGTAAATGCAGACCTAAAGCATCAATTGTGATTCATTTGCCTGTTATTACAACCCGTGTTTACAAGCTGTACAGCTGCAAAAGCCCCTTTCATACCCTTGCTTATGACATTTCCCCTTCATTGTTGTGCACTTCAAATATTTTAGTCCCCACCAGGCTGCTTAATGACCATGATAAAATAAGGACAAAGGGAACATGCAGTATTTGTAGATAGACCAATGAAAAACAAGGCCTGAAGTCTAAGATGGAAGGAAAGAGAAGGACGAGCAGAGTGTTTGTGTGGCTAAGTCTGTCCAGCTGTTTCTGTGCCTGCGTGTGTACGTATCTTATCCAGGGTTTTTTGTCAGGAGTGTGTGGCAGTCTTCTCCCGTTTCCTCTCTGGAGCAGAGCTGCACAGGAAGCTCACTGATTGGCTGGTTGCACAGGAAAAGAAAGAGCCACTATCAAACAGCAGATGGAGGACAGCATGTGCTTACACTGCAGAAACACACACACAGCCAGGAACACAAATTAAGCCCTACATACAGAAGGTACTATCTGCACATACACTTGCTTTTATTAGAGTGTGACCCAGATTGCACAATGCAAACGCCAGCTGTGGAGAATCTTAAGTTTTCATAGAGTTCTAGTGGAATGAGGACAATAGAGGACATTTCAAACAAACTTGTGGAATGTTTTTATAGTAGCAAGGACATTTCTTCTAGCTTGAAGGTTGTTTGGACCCCTCAGCTTTTTTTTTTCCAGCTCTCTCATTATAGTTTTTTTTTTTTTTTTTTTACCTGTAGAGCACTATAGCTCTTAAACCTTCAAGGTTTTATTCACCACTGAAAAACAAACCCATTGTGTTGGAGCAATGACAGGGTTTTGAAATAATGTAAGGCAGGAAAATTACTTTGAAATAATCATTTGTTAGGGGCAGAAACAGCCAGATATTGAATTTTCTTTCTCTACTTACCTCAGTGGTTTGGAGGTTAAGTGTGTTTGTTGTTGAGATTTAGAGATGCCTGGTGTGTGAGTCATTTACTTCTCATCGCCTGTCATTCCTTCACAAACTGTCAAAAGCTGTTAGTGAGGGTACAGGTCTCTCCCCCTGTGCAAGCCTGCGTCATCGCGCTTTTGTCAGCCACATGTGCTGCACTTCCCTTTTTCCAAGAGGGCAGCGAGTTCTCTAAGAGGCCTTCGACTAATCATTTGCTCTCCGTATGGTTTGTGTGTTTATGTGTCCTTTTGTATTCATGTAACAAGTCTGCTTAGGAGGGAGGACAATGAGGCTCACTATGGTGCCAAGGGCCTCGCTGAATGACCCGTATTCCTGTAGAAGTCAGGCCAAACAACAGGGTTACACAAGCTTAATCAACAAAGTACTCCTCATAATGTGCTCTGCAGGGGCTGTGATCCTGCGAAGGAGGATTATGAAAAATGTGTTACTCTAAGGTGGGCTTGGGGTAACATACAGTAATTACTGTGCTCCCAGTTCTAGCTTTTCTTCCAATCAGCAATCACAGCACCTTCTCTGTGAATCTGTGCTGTGAAATAGAAGTTGTCTCTGTTTTTTTACTTCTTTGTCAAACTCAAACCTGTTGTCACCGGGTGTGTGATAAGAAAGCATAAAGAGGCTGTTATTCTGGAAGATGAAGTGTGATAGCACAGTTTTGCTATGGCAACTGGAGCTGCACAGCAGTAAAATCTTGTTTTCCATGCAGACAGTCTGGGGACATGTCAAAAACCAGAAGATAGTCTCATATCCCTTTTAATAGACTCGTACAGGAGGGTTTTATAGTCTGCGTCTGCCCCGAGCAGGCAGGTCTGCTCTGTCTCTGCAGAACAGCAGAGGCAGGCTCCTCAGCCTCGCAGCGTGGGCCGTTAACTTATTCCTTCTTGTCCCGCATCTCCTCTCCTCCTCCTCCTCCCTCAGAATCAAATGGTTTTTGTTCTTCTACAGTGGTGCTTATCACTTGTTTCTCCGCTGCTGTCCTCCTCCCTCCTCCCCATCTTTCTCTCAAGGAATGAAAGGATATTTTATCAAATAGATCTTATCTGTCTTGTGCTGATCCTGAAGGAGTGTTGTCTGTCTCTCTCTCTGTCTGATAATCGGGGCTCTATAGCAGATCCCCATGTTTCTACTAGAGCCACGTCTGTTTAGCCCCTGCTTCATTGCTGATATTAAATAAAAATCAATGCCAGAAGAAAAGCTTTGTGTATTGTCATCATTGCAGGCACTGACACTGCAATTTATTTAAGTCATTTGAGTGGAGTGGGTTTCTTTGTCCCATGGGGTTTCTCAATTGCCTGTTATTTGAACACTTGAATAACATGACATAAAATGAGCCATACATTCTCAGGGGAGACAGTCTAGTGTATTGTAATGCTTTCTAAAATCAGGCTCCCAGATGGCATCAGACTCAGCTGCTATGATTCTGCATCAAACTACAGTTTAATCTTTTTTTATTGGGCCTAACATTTTCTCAAGAGACCCCTGACGAATATATGACCAGTTGAAGGGGCAATTATCCATACTGTGACCAGCATTTATTTGTTTACTGTTTCAGATTTGTTCTGATGTGTAAACTGAATTAGGCTGTTCCAGGGGCTTAAATCCAGAATGGCTGTGGTTTACACCCTGAATGGCTTAATTCTGTGTTTCTACCATTGCTGCCTACTAGCAAATAGACTCGAACAACTACATTCATCTAAACTCATATCCATAGAACGACAATTTTACAAATTAGGGTTCAGAAAATATTTTAGGAATTAAAGGGAATTCCAGTATTTGTTATTCCAGTATTTCCTTTTATTTAATTGTCTGTTATGCATGTCGCTGGTAACATTTCACTTCTCTACAGCTGAATTTTCCGTTTTGTCCATTTAAACTGTACAAGTTAAGCATAACCTCCAAAAAGGATCCTACAAGTGTATCCCTTGTGTATGTAAGTGTAAAAGTCATTTACCACCCTGTTACACTCTTCTTTCTCCTCATGGCTCTGTGGGATGAGCAGTAAATTTCCCATTAGTCACCATGCTGCTGTATACACACTCCCTTCCTCTTTAACTTTTCTCAGCATGTGTCTCACACTAATACCTGTTTATGGCTGGTAATTGCAGACTGTTGGGGAAAAATGAAAAGTGTCACAGTGGCGATTTTGTCATTTTCAGCCCAGCTGCTGCACATTACGGTGGCTATCGATGGCTCTGAGTCCAGGCCATAATTGCACTGGCTCTGAATAATTGAAAGAGGGGAGGAGGTAAATCCCTGAGGTGTCAGGGTGGGAGAAAGATGGATGCCCCTGTGTTCAGGGCTGTCAGGTTGGGAGGTGTAAGGAGCCAGGAGGACATGAGACCCTCACAGGGAGGTTGTTCTCCCCCAGACGCACACACATGTTGTGGATGATGGACCACTAGCTGAATGATTTCTGGCACGGCAGTCCCCAGACAGGCCTTGGCACATGTGTTTCTCATGGACGCCTGTAGCTTGTAGCATTTGTCGCTTTGTGGGCATGCGTGTGTCTCCATGTATTTCATGCCAGGAGGCCAGGCAGTGTATCTTTGCATGTCAGTTGTTTGCAGATTTGATGCAGAAGCTTATGTATGTTATGTGTTTGTGCAGGCGTGCAAATCTATGGATCAGAATTAATAAAAAAAACCTACTTGCTCCTTGGAAACAAACTGTGACTGTGTGTGTGTGTGTGTGTGTGTGTGTGTGTGTGTGAGAGAGAGACACAATCACACGAATGGACTAAATGACACTGAAACGGACAAGTGTTTGCTCGCTTGTGGTGTTTGCTAGTGCAGACTGGACTAAATATGCACTACTACTAATCGGTTTGCATGCATCACTTGAATGTGGCAGAAGCTTAAAAATGTTATAAACACAGAGTACACTATAATATTTCTGCTTTCGAATGTTAAAGTTATGGCTGGAATGTTTTTAAGAGTATTAACAATAATCACTTCTGTTCTAGCACTGTGTTATTTTTAACTAACGTCCAGCAGCTAAAAGCTCTTATTTCCAGTGAGGGCCACTCTAATGGCAGTGCTTTCAGGGTTAGACACAATAGCCACCGTATCTCAGTCAACAGGATGTTGTGTTTACAGTGTGTTGTCTTCCAGGCAGCTGATTTTTTTTTTTTTTTTTTTTTTCCGGTCAGTGGATGGCATGGTTTTCTCTTTGTTCTATTATTAAGTAAACGGTTCTCTCCTGCATGCACATATAACACCAGTGTACATACTGTAAGCACATGTGCGTTTTCTCACACATTCATCTGAGATCTCCATGAGAGATGCTACATTTGTTACCATAGAGGTGGAGAACTGACACTGCAGAATGGAGTCAGCGGGTCTCCAAGGTCATTACCACTGCCACAACGTCTGGG